ACATTTTTACGTTCTGAAACGTTTCTGTTATTTGGGGTCAGTCACAATTACAAGTCAATCTGGGCTGATTAGTTGGGCTCGTATTTTTTTGTCCACAATTGGGCTCGTGTTTGTAGAGGTGAATTTGAATAAAAAGGAGTCTGTTAAAAGCCCACCAAAAGGAAGTTGACAAGAAAATTGTAAGTACTCACTTCTTGTCTTGAAAGTTCATCTTTTTTCTTCTTTATCTAATCTGGAGAGATACGTACTTGTTGCACACTGAGTGCATTTAAATAAAGAGAAACTTGCATTAGGGCAAAGCTTCTATCGAGAGCTACTTTTATGGGTATGATACAAATATTCATCGGGAAGTTTGCGAGTCAAATACGAGCTCAAAAGAAACTATCTCGTTAGATTGGTTGTGTTCTTGATTGTGTCTTTCACAGTATGGTGTAGGCGTCTAAGAAATCATATATGTGGAATAGTCCTAAGTTGTTAACAAATATAGTTCAATGTTAATTACCATTGGATCACGAGTTAGAAAGCAAAACTAGGTAATATTGGATCACACTCTTGCTAGACTATTGATCTCTCTTATTCTTGTTACAATCACTTATATCTAATTGGCGATTGGCATCAATAAGCTAAAAAGATAGATTGATGAGAAGGAAACGCATTGTTTGAAGAGAGTAGAAATTTAAGAAGCTTAGTAATTTGGGCAATCTGACCCCACACTGTAATACGACAGAGACTTTGACATGTGCCAAAGTTAGGTGCCACATGGAATTTTAGTGAAACCGAGTAACTTACAAATACAATTCAATAATTTTATTATATAAAGTTAAAGTTAAATGTGTTAAAGTTAGTAATTAACTTGATTATATCTAAATCAATCAGAATTTAATATATGTCAATTGAAAAACAATATATTTAAAAATAAATTTTATATAAATAATTTCAATTTAAAAAAATCTTTTTAATCCTATAAGAAAAAAGAAAACAATATTTAAAAACTAAAAAATATATTTCAATCTTATATAATTAATTAAGCTAAAATTCAGTTAAGGAAAATCTAAGATAAAACACTAATCATAAAAGAAAAAAATATTTACATCTATATAAACAAACAAAATCTCTAACAATATATATGCACAGTGCTTTACGTAATCATGATCTATAAATTATCTAACAGGTTTAATAGCATTTTTGACTTATGTGTCATTATCTCAGAATTTTAAATTTTTTAAATTTCAATCATGGTTAAAATTTTAAATAATTTATTTTGCAACCAAACACAATCTTTCTTGCAACCAAACAAAAACTTCTCTAATTATTTATTTTTTATTATATTTAATTTTTTAAAAATCTGTAATTAATATTTAGGTTTTTGTATATAATTTAAACAATTCTATTTAAATAAATATGACAGAAAATTTAAGTAAATCTTTGTTTTTAAAAAAATATCTAACATATATTGAACATGAAGCATTAGCTTAGGTGTCATTATCTCCATTTTCTAATATTTTTATTAATTTATTTTTATTTTTAGGTAACTACCCGAATGTTCGTGCGGGATAATGTTTGTAGAAATATTTAACAGATATTCTATAATTTGTTAAGTTTAAAAATATTTAAGTATCTAAAAATTTTCAGTCGAGATTTAAGAAAATTTTGTTTTTAATTTAAACTTGTACAAAGCAAGATTTACATTTACTTTCGTCTAAGGTTTCCAAAAATAGTATTCTTTTTTCGTTTGTATAATATGTGAATCAAAGAAGTTGTAAAACAATAAATGCTCGTAAATCTAAAGTATGGAAATAATTTTCATTTCCATTAATAAAATAGATAAATTTTTTAATTTATTAAACCAATAAAATTATCTAAATATTGCGATCGGTTTGATTTTTTTTGACAACGATCGGTTCGATTTAAACTTTGTTTATTTTAAGTGATTTAAAAGAAAGTGTTTAGTGATAAGTATAGCATTCAAAAATAAATCAATAAAAAGTATTAGAAAAAATGAGATAATGACACCTAAGCCTATAATGCTTCCTGTTTAATATATGTTAGACTAGTTGGTGATTCGCGCTACGCGCAGCTATGTGATTTATTTTTATATATTTTTGTATTAATTTGTTGTCGTATATTCTTGAGAATTTTAAGATAGATTTCTATTTCTCACAAATATCTTTCTCGAATTTTCCATCTTTTTCAAATTTCTAGTTTGTGATCCATACAACACGGAGATTTGATTATTATTTTATGTATTTTTAAAATTATATTTATTGTATCATATAGTTTTGATATTTTGTGATTGTTTATTTTTTTCAAAGTACCCATCTTGAATTTCTTGTCTTATCTCAATTTCGATCAAATATTTTCTATTGACGATTATTTGATTTATTCAAACATATAAGAAAAAAGAACATATATGATAGTAGATATCAATATTATCCATTTAAGAATTAAAAATATTAAAATTATATAGTTTTTAAAAATTTCCTCGACTTTTCATATTTTTTCAAAATATTTTTTCAAGTTGACTTTCATCCAAATTATTGAGAATTTGTGAATAGATTTTAGATAATGCAATTTCTCGAACCTATCTCGTTACCCGAATCTCCTGTTTCATTTTTATTAGATTTCTTTTTGAAATTGTTATCCGTCTTTCTAATTACCAATTCTCATCACACACTCTTAAATTTTCGCTTTTAATCTTGAAATACTCAAAGCTAAGGTATATTATTATTATTATATATATATATTGTTGTTTTTTTTATTTTCTGACAACACACTATAATTTTTTTTGCTATTTTTTATATTTAATGTTGATATCAATTTTTATTATTTTCCATCTTTCTAATTACCAAATTTTGTTATACACTCGTAAATTTCTGTTTGAATCTTGAAATACTCAAAGCTAATGTATATCATTATTTTTTATAGTATTTTGTTGATTTTTTTTTCTGATAACCTATTATAATTGTTTTTTTTATGTTTACTCTTTTTATATTGAATGTTAATATTTATTTTTTTATGATTTTTCGTCTTTCTAATTACTAATTCCTGTCACACACTCGTAAATTTCTGTCTTAAATCATGAAATATTCAGAGCTAATGTATATCATTATTTTTTGGTTTTGCTATTTTGTTGATTTTTATTTTCTGACAACACATTATAATTGTCTTTTTATGTTTGTTAATTTGTATATTAAATGTTAATGTTAACTTTTATATTAAATGTAAATGTTAATTTTTTATTATTTTCCGTCTTTCTAATTACCAATTCTAATTTTTGCCTTAAATCTTGAAGTATTCAAAGCTAATGTATATAATTACTTTTTTGGTTTTATTTTATTTTCTGACAACTTATTATAATTGTTTTTTTAGTTTTTATTTTTTATATTGAATGTTAGTGTTATTATGTGTTTTAAAAAAATTTAAATGATAAACAATTAATGATGTAATTGCTGAGGTGGCTGAAGGAGAAGTGAGAAAATATATTTTATTTTATTTTCTGATAATATATTATAATTTTCTTTTAGTTTTTCTATTTTTAATATTGAATGTTAATGTTATTTTGTGGTTTATAAGAATTTTAATAATAAACAATTAATGATAGTTGCTGAGGTGGCGGAAGGAGAAGTGAGAAAATGTAACTTTATATATATATATATATATATATATATATATATATATAGATTACCAAACACTTTATTTTTAAATCATTTAAATTAAATCAAATTTAAATTGAACCAATCACAAATAATTCGATAATTTTATTGGTTTAGTAAATTAAATTAGTTACCTGTTTTATTAATGGAAATAAAAATTATTTCAATATTTTAGATCTACGAGTATTTATTGTTTTGTAACAACTTTGATTCACATATTATACAAATGGAAAAAGAATATTATTTTTCGAAACTTCGAACGAAAGTAATTGTAAATCATGTTTTGTATAAGTTTAAATTAAAAATAATAATAACTAAATTTTCTCAAATCTCGACTGAACATTTTAGATACCCAAATATTTTTCAAAACTTAATAAATAATAGAATATCTCTTTAATATATTTACAAACATTACCCAACACGAACTTGCGGGTAATAACCTAGTTCATGTAAAATACCATAATCTTTTAACAAAAAAAGAAGTAAAATACCATAATTTTTTTAACTACGGAATAATTCATCATGAAATCCAAATTTATGATACAGTAATATTGAAAATATATTTGTATTATATGTAAAACTGCACATCGCTAGTTAGATTGCAATAGTTATAAGAAAAAAAAATGGATTCCAACAACAATGTATTAATCAGTTCACTTATGTGAGAGTTTGCTTCCAGATTTGAGTCTCTGCTAGATGGCGATATTTAGATTTTATTAAGTATTATGAAAATCGCGGACCAAGAGAAATCATGGGCGTGGCGCTAACGCATGTAATGTCCTTTTTTTTTTTTTTTGAACTAGATTTTACATGAAACGTCCTTATTAGGGAAACAAAACCCATTTATGTATTTGAGTTAAAATGGAATATATAACGACTAAGAATAAAATTGAATATATAACGACTAAGAATCGAACAACAAATTTGTGATTTATTAGTATAACTTCTATCCATGGGTGCACTAGCAACATTTGCTATCAAATTATTATCTTCGGTGAATGAAGTCGATATATTTATTTTATATATATACTAACGCATGTATGAACCAAAAGAAACATATATATGAACGTGTTTTCCTAGTATTAATAATATTAATATATAAAAAAGCTTAATAAGAACGGTAATGATGAAAATCAAAAAAAAAAAAAAGGAACGGTAATGAGAATCAAATTTACGCGGAAATAAATAAAAATAATACTATTGATAAATAAACACATTAAAGTAAAAGAAAAGATAAAGTGGAAAAAATGTTGTGGGGTTTGCAATTGGCAACCGACCCAAAATGCTTTTTTCTGCTTCTTTTACATAATTTTAATCTCTTTTTGTCTTTCTTACAGTTCCATCATTGATCGATCGAATTCAAACCCTTATATACGCCTCTCTTTCTATATAACTGTCTCTTTATATTCCCACTCCTTTCTCCTCCTCCTTCTGTCTCTCAAGTTCTATATATGTTCATATTTATTTCTTTCATTTTATCATCTAATTCTAGCTAGGAAGTAGATATGGCTCCTGTCTCAATGCCTCCTGGTTTCCGGTTTCATCCAACAGACGAAGAGCTTGTTATATACTACCTCAAACGAAAGATTAATGGTCGGACGATCGAATTAGAGATAATTCCAGAGATTGATCTTTACAAATGCGAGCCTTGGGATTTACCCGGTATTTTATCTCACTTCTCTTTTTTTTTTATTGTTCTCTAAAGATGCAAATCATTTTTATCATCGGCATGAAGAAAAAGATATTAAAAAAAAAATTCTACATCGACATGTTTTGTGGTAAAATATCATATCAAACGAAAAAAACTCTATTTCCTTTATCTTCTAATACAATATATCATTAATCCATTAAGTGATATGCATTAGTTTTTGCAAAATCAATAATATTTTGGACTTTAGAATAAAGAATTAAAGATTCATTTTCTAAAAACTACATAATGTAAACATACCAGTTGATAACGGTAACCCTAATTAGAGAGAAGATACACTTGATGTAATTAATGTCTTTTTCAAAGATGTTTGTTCTTCTTGTGTAACTAATTTCTGGTTTTTTTAAAACATTGTTTTTACGTACCAAGTTATGTATAGACACACGCATCGAACTTGAATGCTTTATTAACTAAATAATAATAATAAAAATCCCTACTTTATCTTAGAATAATATTGAAGTGGACCCACCCTCATCTTTATTCTTTAAAAGGATTGTAATAAAATCGAGAGATGCGGTGGTGAATAGTGAGACAAATTCGGAAGACCGAGTCAAAAAGGTAAGAAGTATAGAAGATACAAAAAAAGAGAGATAAAGTAACACAAGATTTCGCATGTGCTTTAGGGTTTCGGTCCTTTCGGAAACTTCTCATTCACCTTCAACTTTTGTTTTATAAAAAAATGTTCTCTTTATCTGTCTTTTATATATTCTTTTGGATTCTCATGTATCTCCATCTTAAGTGTGTACAAAGTTATTGTTGGATAAACCTTATTTCGGTATGATGATGATCGTGATTTTCAAATATTGCAGGGAAGTCCTTGCTCCCAAGTAAAGACCTAGAATGGTTTTTCTTCAGTCCACGAGACCGGAAATATCCCAACGGATCAAGAACTAACCGGGCGACAAAAGCCGGTTACTGGAAAGCCACAGGGAAAGATCGTAAGGTTACTTCACATTCACGGACTGTCGGAACAAAGAAAACGTTAGTTTATTACCGAGGAAGAGCACCTCATGGGTCTCGTACCGATTGGGTCATGCATGAGTACCGTCTCGAAGAGCAAGAATGTGACTCTAAATCCGGCATACAGGTAACCGAAACTTAACAATATATATAAAATTTTAACCATATTAATTTTAAGTTACCCAATATTGTATAAACATTTTCGAAAGTTCTTCGTGTTGCACCTTTTTTCAATACAAAAAAAAACTTTATAAACATTTCAGGATGCGTATGCACTATGTCGAGTATTCAAGAAGAGTGCTTTAGCAAACAAGCTAGAAGAACAACAACAACATCATGTCGTGAAGAGGAACAAAGCAACGACTAATAGTGAACAATCTACTTCTACTACTTGTTTGTACTCCGATGGAATGTATGAAAACCTAGAAAACTCGGGATATCCGGTCTCACCCGATACAGGACTAACTCAACTCGGTAACATTTCTTCGTCGGATATGGAAACGGTAGAGAACAAATGGAGTCAGTTTATGTCACATGACACGTCGTCCTTCAACTTTCCAGTCCAGTCACAGTTTTGTTCTCAATATGGATCAATATCATATCCTCCCTCAAAGGTAACAAATCTTTATTCACAACTCAAAGATAGCTTCTAAGTGTTTCTGATTTTTCCTCGATTCCTTTTCAAAAACTCAAATTTATGCTATATCTGATGTGAAAACGTTTTTTTTTTCTTGAAGTAATTTAACATATAACTTTTTTTTTAAAAACAAATCTTTATTTAAAATATCTCAAAATAGGTTCGAAATCTAAAATGTGAAATTTTGTTTCAAATTAATCCATAGCTCATTCAACTCTACGTACAAAATAGGTTGAGATAGCGTTAGAGTGTGCAAGACTGCAAAATCGCATGTTGCCACCGGCGCCACCACTTCACGTACAAGATCTCACACATGGCGAATATATGGGAAACAATGTAGTTAATGAAACAGATGAAGTGTTGAGCAAGATCATAGCACTGGCTCAAGCTTCCCACGAGCCACAGAACGGTCTAGACTCGTGGGAAGTTGCTTCTGGTTCCGCAAACTTCCATGGAGACTTTAACTATTCGGTTGATAAAACCTCAGGTTCATGGGTAGAGGCGAACATGAACGCTGTAGATATGCAAGAACATATTGGGAGGTTTAAGGAAGAAAGAATTGTTGAGAACTTGAGATGGGTAGGAGTGTCAAGCAAGGAACTAGAAAAGGTAGCTAAGTTCATTGGTGGTATTTTCTAAACCTTGAAGTGCAAAATATTTGTCGGATAATATGGCACATGCATATATACATATATATATATATATATATATTTCTAACAAATTAATTTTTGAATAATATCCATACCAAATATATAGATGAATAGATAGTGTGATCTAAAACGAATTTACGTTTGATCTTGTACTTTAATTTTCAGAGTTTCATTGAAGAACACTCAACGGTAGTTCCTATAAATGATATTTGGAGTTACCGTAGGGATGATCAAGAACATATACTTCAAGGTAAATTTTGCTTATCAATTATTTCCACAATTGACTCTCTTTTGTTTTTTAAATTGCCAAGAAACTATTGGTCTATGACCAATAATCTACTCCTACGGGGACCATATAGGTTACTAAAATTCTCTCTTACACTTGGTATAATGTTATTGCATATTTCTTACTAATTTTTATATTTTGTTTTGTTGAAGATGGTGTGGGAGTTAACAGAAATAATGATGTGGATGATGTTTACACACTTGAGTTCTCTGAAAGCGAGCACAACGAGAATGTATCGGACAAAATAAACAACAGTGATCATGACACAACGAGTTCCCCACGTTTTGAGATGATTAAGAAAGTTGAGGTTAGCCATGGAATGTTTGTTACAACTCGTCAGGTAACCAACACATTCTTCCAACAGATCGTACCATCTCAAACCGTAATAGTTTACATAAATCCAACGGGTGCCAACGAATGTTGTAATGAGATGACAACAAAGGAGGAGGTTCGTGTCCTTAAGAAGATTAATCCGCGAATTAAAAGCATAGTCTCAAAAATTCTTGGACCTTGGAAAACATTCGCGTATGTTATTGGTTTCATTCCTATGCTTCTATTCCTAGGAGGTAACTATATCAAAAATAGAAGCAGCGAAGGAGATTGTAACGATCGCGGGGATATATTTATGATGAAAAATGCCACAGTGAGAAGAAGCTTTTGGAAGAACAAAGAGAAAGGGATGGTTGATGAACAATGTTTGAGAGCCCAAGATAGTTTCATGTTGAAGAAGTTGGGGCTTTCTCTTGCTATTATCTTAGCTGTTTCGACCATGTGTCTTATTTAATTAAAATTTTAAAAAAATATATTGAATATCAATATATCATATGGCTTTGCACTTTTCCTATTGTACTCCTATTTGTCTAGGAGGGATTTCCTCTCCATTATGTTCTGTGTGGTTTTACATCATGGGATCTAGTTTTTTCTTCCTATTTTACAAACCCATTTGACTTTCGGTGTAACTGATCAATCCTTATATATATATATATGAGTATATTGAATTATATTCGATTAGATCCTTACCAAATACATGAAATAGATTAGGGCCACCATGCTAAAAAATGTGTGATGTGGCTACATATTGATTTAACCACGAATTAGCCATGTTCACGAATTATCCATGGATTTCCGTGGCTATTAGACGATAATTCGTTACCTAAGACTATACATAAACAAGCAAAGAAAGATATCATAACTAAGCAAGAAAAACTACATAATAAATTAAGCAAATTTTAGAGAAATCATAGATCTAGAGAATCGATACAAGATATATCATGGAATAGCAACACAATACAACACAATAAGATGAGATCTGAAATCCCCTTCGACCTTCACTAATCCGAGAGTTACTAAACTTTCATTTTGTGATCTGAAGTGATTAGTGTATTGAGTTGTGGAGCCAAATCTCAATATTAATTTTGTGTTAGTATAACCGAAGTGGGTGTGGGATTTAAACTTGGAAAACAGCGTGGTCACTCCGTTGAAACACAAAATTATATAAGAACGACTCATTACGAGTATTTAAGATATTTGAGGTCTATACTTGTTTATCTTAATTTTTTCCTCGTATATATATTCTTTGAAGCCACCTCTCATCTAGATAACTTGAGTCCGAGAGATATTACTAAAGATAGAGAGTGATAGATCGAGAGAAAGAGAGATCATGTAGCTCCCGATTTTGATTGATCTTAGTTAAATGCATCGGCGGAAAGTGGACCTAGCTTCATACTGAATGTGAAGCATTATAAATTTGTGCATGGTTTTATTTAGTGTTTAATTTTTTTTTTTAAAGTTTGGATTGAGTTTCAAATCCTAGAATATTGAACAATGCCATTAGGTTCTATAAGCTCATAAATTCAAATAACCTTAATTCTCAATGTCTAGATCGTTGGTAGAGGTACTTTATCTTTTTTTTTTTAAAGAGAATGTTAAATTATATTCAAACCAAAAAAATCGATTCTACATCTCATGCAACTTTAGGTTAAGAGCAAAAATAGAGCTGATGAGGTTGAGATTTAATAAAAACTTTTTTTTTTTGTGCTAATCGCCAAGCGATCAGTTGCGTGTCTCGAACCATCTTGCAAGTGCTTCTTCATATCTTGGGTCCAGTTTTCGAATTGAAGATATTCTATTTCGTACCGCTTTGTCAATCAACCCAGTGATTCGTTGTAGGCGAGAAGGGTGTTCTCCATGGCGCCTGCTGTTCCTTTCCCTCCAAATGTAGGTAATGGCGGTTTGTAGAACATACCTCAACAGAAAGGTCTCAATGCGAGGTGCATTGGATGCCGAGATTAAGTGAATAATGTCATCCCAGTTTGATACGTACTTCCGTTGAAGCAGGCCTCGAGTGAGATCGTTCCATTATTGCTTCGTAAAATGCATATGATTCAACAAAATCGATGGTCAAACTATTATTATGATACCTGGTTTCAATGGCGGAGCTAGAAAATTATTTTATTGTGGTCCAAATATATAAAGTAATTAAATTTATATAATAAAATAGATAAATTTGATTTAAAAAACAAAATTAAATAAATGTATAATTGATTTAAAGAATAAAACAGTTTTAAACAAAAATCTTCTTTTCAGAGATATCTAAATGAAAAGTTTTTAGTTACTAAACTAACTTTTAATCAAAATTTGATTGTGTAAAATTGAAAAGGGAAATAATATAACATTAAAAAAGGAAGAAAATGGAAAGAGTGGACTTGCAAGAAATAAACTGGGATAAAAAAAGAAATTAAAATGAGGTCATTAGTGACATATTGAATAAATACAATGTGACATATTGAATAAATATAATGAAATTTTGTAAAATTGGTGAGGTCAGCTGACCCCCTTCTCTTGTATATGGCTCTGCCTCTTGGTTTGGTTTAGTTTGGTTAAATCTTGTTTATTATAATGATCTAGTTTAGTGAGTTATGTACATATTTAAGCTTATGTAACACAGTTGTACAGTCTTTAGTGTGAATAACAGAATTTCATCATCTTCTTTCTCACTCTCCTTCTGATCTAGAATATCTAGTTCATAACTTTTTCCATCGATTCAAGTTTTAATATGGTAATAGAGCATAAAACATTCACTTCTGCTTACTTTGAATACTCTGATTTCTCTTTTTCCCCTTTTTGCAACATTGTTTCTCGCAGCAATTTTAGATTTGTTCGTCGAAATCCATTTTTGTTTTCCAGTTCTTTTTCTTTGATTTTCACTTCGATTGACCTTGTGCCCATGAATTTCTTGTTCTATTCAATCTAATTTTATTGCACTCTCATCGATTTTCATCATTTAGTCAAATTGAGAATAGTATCGCACAAAGTCACGATTCTAATTTGAACTGACAAATCTCTCTTCAGTAGCAGCACCTAATTTCTCTGATTATTCAAGCTATACAGCTGATCAGTACGAAACTCTGTACTATCTCCACAATAATGATCATGCTGGTCTTATGCTGGCTTCCTAATGATTGACAACAACTTCTGATTTTCATTCTTAGAGGAGACTTGTGTGAATGGCATTCAATGTTTGCAACAAGTTTGGCTTTCTTGATTTATTACTAAACCTTCTTCAAATCTCCTTGAATGTGGTGCGTGGTCTCGTTTCAACGATATTGTGGCCACATGGCTCATGAATTCAGTATCGAAAAAGATAGGTCAGAAACTTCTCTTTATATCTACTGCTGAAGAAATCTGGATGAATTTGTTCGCTAGATTTAAGCAAGATGATGCACCTTGGGTATATGACATAGAATATAGGTTAAGCAAGAATGAACAAGGTTCTATGGATGTGTCAACCTATTATACTGAAATTGTCACGTTATAGGAAGAGCATAAAAACTATGTCGAACTTCTTGTATGTACATGCGACAAATGTGAGTGATACAACTGGCTTATGGGAAAAACTGCAACATAGAAACCGTGTGACTAACTTTTGATGGGGTGTTGAATGAGTAATATGAACAGGCTGGCCGTCATATTCTAATGCTGAAAGCAATTCTTATTATTGAAGAGACCTTTAATATTGTCACACAAGATGAGATACATAAGTCTATTAAGCCTTCTTCAAAGATAGAAAAGGTTGTGTTTCAAGCTTCTAATTTGGCTGTTTCTAATAATGGTCTGATACTTATGTATGATGAGAATATGTATGTTTCTGCATACAACACAGTTCAACCAGCTCAGCGACCTGTTTGCACACATTGTGGCAAAACATGACATACAATCCAAAAGTGTTTCAAGCTGAACGAATTTCCACTAGGACACAAGACAAATGCTCTTACTCAGAATGTTTATAAGCATCCCCAACATCAGTTCAACCTAGGATGCAACAGTCTCAAGTACAACCATATATATAAATACATATGTCCCTTAATCTGAATGCTTTTCAGCAGGCAAATGCTATTGTCAATGTTTATTCTAATGCTGGTTTGGTTCATTACATGTATTCTCAGCCAATGATTCAACCAACAGTTTCTCACATTAAAAGTGGTGGAAACAGTTTGAGTCTTCTAGCCTTTACTCCACAATAGATTTTATAATTTGATATTTCAATTAAATACTTAGAGTTTGAGTTCAAGAGTTGCTCGTTCCTTCCTCACGTGCTACCATTACTAAACATGGTATTATGCCTTCTATTTCTACTTCTGGAAATTTTCCTTCTCCTTCCACCAGCCTTAATATGAGAATAATAATCTCAATTTTCAAAATCATTGCCTTTTTTATCTTTTTTATTCAGTATTTTGTTCCTCGTGATGTTTGGATCCTAGTAAGTGTTGCTTTTAGTCATGTTTATTTCTGACATAAAATTGTTTACAGAACTCACAACTGTATTTAGAATAACTGTGATGTTACCCTAAATGGTACCAGGGTTCCGATTATACACACTGGCACCATTTATATCACACATGAATTGATCTTTTATAATGTTCATCTTGTTCCATATTTTCATTTCAATCTCATTAGCATCAGTTGTTTGGTGAAAACTTTGTTTTGTTATGCTCATTTCTTTTCTAGTGGTTGTTATAACAATTTATACATTCTCGAGAATGCAACCCTCTCATCATCATCTCATGCTTCCTTTTTGTGTGGATCTTCGTTGGCTGATGGAAATTGATGGCATCAACGTTTAAGGCATCCTTCTCTAGCTGCTTTGCAAAAACTCACATATATTTTACCATCTTCGATGACTATTACAGTAAAATCTCTATAAAATAATAATCTTGGTAATTAACTTATAAATATATTATTTGGTTGATAAATAAATTTTAGAACTGAAACAAGATATTAATTTATCGAGTTATTAATTTATTGAGTAATTTAAATTATTGTACTTCTAAATTTTGCATTGTCATGTTTGTCTTTTTGCAAAACAGAAGCATCTATCATATGTTTTTTTATAACAATTTAGCTTTGCAACCATTTGATTTTGTTCATATAGAGATTTGGGTACTTTTAGTATTGAGTATGTTGAATATTTTATATATTTTCTTACTTTAGTTGATAATTGTACACGAGTTACATGTATACCCATGTTAAAGAATAAAAGAAATTTATCATTTTTCCTGCTTTTCTCAAACTTGTTTCAATTCAGTTTCAATCTAAATTCAAAGTGATTACATAAGATAATGCGCTAGAATTGGCTTTTACCAAACTGATGAGAGAACATGGAACGGTTAATTATTATTTCATGTGTATACATTCCTCAACAGAATTCAGTAGTGGAAAGCAAACACCAATACCTGCTAAATGTTGCTAGATCTTTGTTGTTTCAATCAAATGTGCCTTTGTCAT